AAAAAAAAAAAAAAAAAAACAACGATAGGGGGTCCATTATTTTTCTCCTCTCCCTAAAATGGACCCCCCCCGTTTTTAATTTTTTTGGTTTTTTTTCAATGCGGGGGCATGGGGCCTGGGGTGCGCCCCCCAGTACCCCCTCCCCCTCGCCTGCAGCGGGGGCATGGGGCCTGGGGTGCGACCTCCAGTACCCCCTCCCCCTCGCCTGCAGCGAGCCTTTTTCAACAGCGGTCGCGGCGGTCATGACCGCAGGCTCGCGGTCGACCACATGAGCCGCGGTCATGCCCACGGGGACCGCGGCCTAGGGGGATACATAGCCTCCGGCTCTGTCACGACCGGCTCGCCCATCACGTCGGGTTCTCCGTCATTGGCTTGATCAGCCCATCTCAGCGGTGCTCCCTGCCTAATTCGTTCCTTCAGATCCCTCAGTGCTCGGTCGGGCGATGTCATGTACTCCTCTCGTGCTTCGCCCGTGGTTGGTTGTGGCCCCATCGTGTCTGGTTCCATTGGCTACCAAAAGTTGTAGTTGGACACTTACGCCAGGCGTTTCAGCCCAGACCTATGAGAGTTGCAGCAGCCCGGACCTGTGACAGAACTCGCAGCCCGGACCTGTTTACTTGTCACGGTTCGCGCTCGTCTCCAATCCTAGCTCTCGACTGCCCCGATTAATGCCACCAGTACTCCGCTCCGGTCGCGGACCTCATGCTCACGTTTTATCCCAAGAATCCCTGTGTCTATGTAAACCTCTCCTTCGGGATCTGCCAACAAGGTCGCGCCTCTCCTGATCTCTCTGACCTCCACTATCTTTCCAAGAGCTTCCAATCTCTATTTCCACTCCTTTAACTCCCAGAAAGCTATAAGGTCACCTGTCTAGCATCTGACGGAAGTCAGTGCTATAGCCGTTCGTAATCTCATCGCGGACAACTCCAATATATCATAGAACGCCTCAAATTCTTCCTCATCTCCACTATCCTCTATGGTCTCTAAAGTCTTTATTGATTCCCTCCAGTATCGGTCGTGAGCGGCTAGCACCCTGAGTATTGCTCCGTCTACTATAACTCTCCCTAGCTCCCCACCTTTCCTGGCTTCGCTTATCTTCAACCTCTCAGCCTTTCTGGACATCTCGTACTACGCCCTTATCTGAGGCCGCCCTTCGAAAGGTATTACGTGAAGTACGTATTTTATCCTTCGTCCTCCTTCCATTCCAATCCAAAGTCTTGTTCCCCTAGTCTCCCGCAGTGCACGGCGAACATAATCTGCCTCCTCAACTATGCACAACCTGGTATGGAGCTGGAGCTCTGGGATCACTAACACCAACGGTATGTCAAGTCTCCCTACCACATGCAATGAGTACCTGTCCGTCGTGTGTAGTGCAGTCCCGCTCATGTCTTGTTGCTATCTCCCTGCGTTACCTTGTCCTCCGTTGTTACGTCCTTTGCAGACTTTTCCTTAGCTCCTTCGCGCGATAGGTCCCTAGCCTTTACCCTCTCCAGAAAGTCTGATCTCCACGCCTGGATAATTTCTCTATCTTCTCGGAACAGACTCTCTAACTCTTTCGTCGCGAGCTCAACCCTACGCAACTTGCGCTCATCCTGGCACGACCCGATCTCCCTTATCTTGTTCCTCAACTCCTTTACCCGGTTCAAGAGTGATTCTTTAATGCGCTTTCTCACTCTTCCGACCGCCTCACTCTCCTCTTCTATACTCTGTCCACATCTCTTTCCAGCTCATCCTCATACCCTTGCTCTAGCCTCCGCTACCGTTTCATCGTGGTAGTGCTCCGCACGCATATAACCATGTGACCATATCATCACATCATACGAAATCGAGGTATGGAAGATCACCTGCGCTAGTACATCAGCTCTATGCTCACGGATCAGCTCCCTGGCTCGTAGTCGGCACTCTCGCACCGTCAAGTCCTCATCTATGTATGCCCGGAGAAGCACTATCACAGTGTACCTCGTGCTTACCAGTTGCTTATCTAAGCGCACCACAGTTGCCGTTCTCCCCGGCATTCCCTAAGCTGCGACCTCGAAGAGAAACCTCACATCCTCCAGCCCCACATAATCAATCTCCGCTCGTCTCCTGCAGTACCTAATCAGATCGACTGGCCTCAGATAGTCCACCCAGCAAGTAACGTCTATGATGTCGTCAAGCGTTTCTCTACTAGGTGGCCCCCACCTTACACAAATGGCGTAGTACGCTTCCCTGAAACGGGGAGCTAAGCCCTCCCAAAGCGCGTAAAGTGTGTGGTCCACTGCTACACTCAGACGGTCTACGCTCCCATAGGTCTGCCCTATTACGAACGCGGGAAGTCCAAATCGCCAACCCTCTTTCGGGTAGAGGGTCGGATGCGGAGGTCCGTACACCAAGCAACTCCAATACGACCTTCTTCCAGAGAGTCTCGCCAGTTGCTTATTAACGATCACTCTGGCCAGCAACTCGTTTCTCCACCAAGCTCTGCTAGCCCCTGTGAGTGTCAGTCCTATGTCTAAATCACGGGCTCTGTCCGTTATCAGATGTCCCACCCCTTCTAGGTCATGAGTCCTTTCGGGTCGTCTATCTTTCAGTATCACCGTCCAAAGGAAAAGTCCCTCATCTAGCCGCGTTCCAAGGTAACGTATCGGAACACAGTCAATCTCCTCTAACCCCACAGGAAGAGGAATATCATATCCAACAGCCGTCTCTCTGGGTCTTACGAGTTTCCTCACGCTATATGATTCGGACTCTCGTGAGAGAACATAAGCCAGTCAAGCTGTCGAGTCACTCCTCATCACTCAAGCTAACTCATCAACTCAAGTCGCCCAATACCTATGG